CAGCCCTAATAATAATAAAATCTTACAAGTAAACTATCTTGCATAAATACTCTGAATATCTCTAACCTTCTCAAACATGTTTTAATTTTCTTAAAAAAATTGCTAACATTGGGTCAGCAGGTAGTGTGGAGGTTAAGGTGCTAGGTCTCACATGGCCAAGCGCATGGTTTGAGTCCTGAACCTGACAGCTTGAAAATCACACTGCGCACGTGTGCATGTGTATCCAAACTCCCGAGAGGAAACTGAAGAAGGGAAGGCAACATAGCCATGCCTTCAGGAAGGTGATTTCTCACTTTCCCTCACTTTCTCTCTGGCAAGAGCATGCACCCTCTTAAAAAAAAAAAAAATCGCTAACATCTATTATTTTCAATAGCTTGTCATTTACATAAATATGGAAGAAGGATCAGCTATGTCATCCAATATAGTGGCAGATGGATTCAGTTTTTTGTTACAGACAGTGCAAGACTTCCAGAGCCATGTGAAGGACACTGGTATGAGGATGACAATGACATTACACTGATCTTTAAGAGTGAACTTTGCAAATATGGCTTTATTGTATCTATGTGAACCACGGATTGCCTGAAAAGGTAGCACATTCAGCTGTAGTGAACACTTGCTGGGCTGCTGAGTTTTTGCTGAAGCACAAATCTTATTGGAATAAGCAATACCACGTGGATTTGTGTATGTACACTCTGCCACAGCGTAGACAAGATTTTTCTGAAGTTAAAGTTCCAAATAATAAAAACAATACCTAGCAGTGGTGTACCCTCGATATTTAGATAAAAACACAAAACTTCGAGGTAGCTGCAGATTTTTCATAATTTAATTAACTCAAAGAGGTACTATAATATTGACTGTTTCTGAAGCCATTCTTCAGAAAAGTTTTCTGAATCTAAATGTCACACTGTCCCTATTTGGTTTGAGTGATCACAGCAAAACATAAATAATAATTCACATTCTTAGCTTAAGTGTGTTCTTTTAAATGAAAATGCAATACAATTAAAGAGAGATATTCATTTCAGTACCTCAATAAACACAAACGGTGATTCAAAATTTTATCAGTGCACCAACTGCCTTTCTTCTTCAAGACAGACTTTGCTGACAAAAACATACCAAGAACTTAGGGAACAGCAGTTAGCATAAGGGCTATGTCACTGGACTCCCATGTAGTCGACCGCGGTTCGCGTCCCGGACCCAGTGGCTTAAAACTCACGCCGGGCGCGTGTGCGTGCGTGCCCAAAATCCCAAGAGGAGAATGGAGGAGAAGGGATTGCGGCATGACCATCCCCTCTGAGGGGGGTGATTTCTCACTTTCTGTCTCTATGTCTCTCTCTGTCTGTCTGGTGAGCGTACGCGCCCTATAGCAAAAACCTCTCCAAAAAACAAAACAAACAAACAAAAAAAACTAAGAACTTAGAAACCATGTCAATTAAAAACAAAATGTATGCTTTTTAAATGTTTTACAGATACCTACCTTTTTAAACATGAAAGTTAACCCACCTAAGAATAACTTAAAAAAAAAAAAAAGAGTTCCCTTAAAGTAGGCTGTCACGTGCACTTCATATCACTTACAGTGTAAGGAGAACAGGAAGGATCTGTAAGTAGACTCTGTAGTTCAAAATGAATTGGGGAGGGGTGTCTAAGAGGACATAATGTGCAATAAGAAAGATCACTCAGCATTCCTTTAATCAGACAGCCAGCCTTCAGAACCGGGAAGACACGATGTCCCTATCTCTGGCTCAAATCACTGGAAACGAATTACGAGCTGACACTGAGAAAGGCAGATGAGAAAACTTGCGTGTGAGATGACAGGCTACCATCTCCTTAGCTATAATCTAATTGACTAATCTTGATGTCACCATAAAATAGAAGTTAACTCATCTTCTTTTCAAAGTTGTTGAAAAGGTTAAGATATCGGAAATAGAAATATATATGTACATACTGAAATATGTCTGAAGAAATATTTGCCAAAATGTTAGCAGCAGTTCTCCTTGGCCGGCAGGTGAATGTGCTTCTGCTTCCTTTATACTTATCCATACAGTCACACATCCCATGATGTTTCCATAACAATGGACCCCACGCACGAAGGTGGAGCGACAGCGTGTCTGTGTACGTACAGTGTATGACTAGCTTAATGATAAACTGCCGAAAGATGCTTCTCTCAGAGTGTGTCCCCATCATTAAGCTATGCATGACTGCATTTTCTAATGATTTTACACTTTGTGACTACTACATGTGTGATGCATGGGAAGTACTCAGCACAGTGCTGGCATGCATACTGCCTCAAAAACGGTAGTTATCATCATTATTACCACACACACAAAAAGCAAGGTATCTTCTGCCTTTTCTTCTCATTTCTAGATATATGAACAAATGCTTCCCTATGGAGGAAAATGAAGCTATTCCACCACACAAAGTCTATGGCAGGTTTCCCTCTCCTGAACCAAATGAAAGGTCACAGCTAAGTGGAATAGGTTATGTGCTAACGCTTTAGGGTTGAAAAGAGATGCCTAGCCATGAGAAAGCTCAGCTCTGGGATGACTTAGAGAGCAAATCAGAATGGAATTTGTCCTGGTCATACAATAAATTAACACGTAAAATACTACCTCCCTTCTTGCTTATTATGAGTTATGAGGCTGTCTTGAAAAATAAATACTCCCAATGGAATGACCAGATCCAACAAACCAATTAAGATTTGGAATTTATGTGTGTCATACAGGATAGAAACCTAGTTCAGTTTTTTTGTAGTTCTAATGACTACATTTATTTAATTTTTGAAGTATCTTAACTAATAATTCAAGACCTGACAACAAAGATCTTAGAGAAACCACCACAAGCGTTTAACCAAAATTACCATTATAATTGCAAGATACCACAGATAAATGCATTCATATTTACTATGGGAAAATTCGAATATTTTCAAGAATGCTTGGAACTGGGCTAAACCTGGTAACAAAATATTGTTACCTAAAAATGAAAGTCCATATTCCTCTGACCTTAACTACCATGTCAAATAGCCCACTAGGAAAAGGGACTGAAGTTTAATGCTTATAAGTTAGTAATTCAGGGGATTTGAACTTTAAAGAGGGTGACTTCTTCTGTTGTCTCAACTAATGCTTCTAGATTTTTATAAGACTTCTCCATTCTCCTATCTTCTCTTTTAGCTTACTATACAATCTAAAAGTTGGCAACATTTTCAAAGTTGGTAGTTTATATTTTTTTGTAAATCTCATAATCAAACTGTACTTATACTGACTTCTTGAGGACAACGAAACATTCTACTAGACTCAAGCACAACAGTAAAAATAAAATATGTAACAGTCTCTTTTGCCACAACATTAGACTTTGCATATTGTTTTAAAATTATATTATCTTTCAAAAGAATGGCACCTTTATTCCCTCTTTCCATCCCCTCCCCCTAAAAAGAAATATGTTAGCGAAACCTCTAGATTTTCATACACTGCAAAAAAAATGAGGCACAAGAGCTAAAATTCTAATTGTTTTTTTTTTTTTTTAAATAAAAGACTAAATAATCTGATATCAAGCTTATACAACACTTTTCTATCCTGGACCTGACTGAATACAGTTTTGTGTAAGCAGTAAAATTAGTGTTGTCTCCTAATTAATATAGAAGTTTTAAAATTAAAAAAATAAAGCTATTTATTAAGGAGACTAAAAAGTGAGAAGTGGGTGGGAAGGAAAAGCAGGAGTAGAGGACACAGCATCTAGGATGACTCCAATTCCTTTCTGACAGTTTTCTACAAAGGGAATTCCTTCTCTATTCGTGTTGCCTGAGAACCACTCTGGTTTTGTGAAGTCTGTAACAGTAATTCATGTGATCACCCAGGAGGACATCTCTCTTAAGCCTATAAATACTATGTTAGTATACTAAACTATCTCCCTTGGCTTATTTGTAAAAAGAAAAATATATTATATATTTATATTTTTATAAAGTTAACACTGAGGGCAGAGGGAAGGGGATGGGAAGCAGTGTGTATCGTAGATTCTCCGGACACAGTAGCCAAGCGAGGGTCTTGCTCAGGCTGTGTCTGAGGAAGAGTCGTAGGAGGCGGAGACGATGAAGTTGCCACTGTTGGAGTGCCCGGCCACTGACTGGGCTGCCTGCTGGCTCAGATTGTTACAGATCAGCACCAGCTGGTTGCTCTGGGCCTCGGACAAGGTGCTGCAGCTCTGATACACACTGAAGTTGGTTTTCCTGCCAGGGATGTTGCCCTTCTCACACATGGTCTTCACCATCTTGGCCAGCTTGTTCTTGCCAAGGGCCTGACAGTTGTACCAATGCAGAGCCGCCAAGTTGACAACGGGCTTGATGGACAAATAGAAAGGGGCATCCTCGTAGCGCATGGCAGGAGGCCGCCGCTGGGCATACTCCTTATAGTCCTGTACGGGGCAGGTCTGTGGGGCGTGCTGGGTGGCATACACACGAGAGTCCGTCCCTCCTCTCTTGGTTTTGGCATTCAAGTCACCAGTGTCTTGACCCATCCACTCCAAGTACTCCAGCCCCGTTTCTGTTACCCGGAGCCTGATATCACCCCACTTCAAGGTAGATCCATGGAAGCCCGTGCAGTGCCCAAAAGCTTTGGTGTTGTTGAGCCAGACAAGGTTGAGCAAACCCTCAGGGTTGTACCGACTGAGTAGTCCCCTCTTCCGCAGGATGAGCTCGTCGGCAAAGGTGAGCTTCATGGACTTGTGTGGCTTATTTCCTTTTCCTTTGCAGCGGAGTTCGATTTGCTTCTGTTTCAGGGCTTCTTGGGAACGCTTGAATTCCTTGTCCCTGGTGATACTGTAGCCATACCTGTGTTCTTTCAGGTACCGTTCAAGCCCACACTGGTAATTGGCCAAGCTGTTGGGTTCATACTCGGACCCATCCTTCTGCCTGGCATCAACAAAGAAAGAGGCAAGGTAGGCATCCAACTCCTTGCAAGGGATGACATAAATCTCTCTGGTTTCAGAAGGATACTTGGAGATGAGGAACTCGCGGAAATTGCGGAGCGCGGTCTGCGTGCTCCGGATGGTTTTCTCGTTCTGCTCCCTGCTGAGCTCCGCCGCTCTTTCATCCTGGTCTGTAACAAATTGGGAAGGGGAGGGATAGAGAGGGTGTTGATGAGTTCAGACAATGTACTTTCTACTCTGAAATAAAGTTTCCTTTTATCATGAAAAGGGAAAGAAGGAATCAATTTTACAGAGATCACTGATAAGGTTATTTACATACCCGCCACATTACAATGGCCAACTTCAGTTTCACAAATGATGTGCATGACAAGAGCACAACCCTCTACAATCAAAATGAGCCTCTTGTGTCACTGGCACATTGGTTCAGTGCATGCAGGTCTGGGTAAGAATAAGATTAGACACAGCCTTCCTTTTAGGAAAAATGTGGGATAGAAACAGGCTACCTATCCTACTGCAGTGTGCAAGGGCCTCCTTAGAGCTGACAAACTCATTTGGAATCACTTCATTTATGAAAACAGAGGTTGTACTGGTTTCGTTTTGTTCAATTAAAATATCTATATTTGCTATTTTAACACATCTCTAGAATTCTGTATTTTAAAAGAACTAATCAGATTTTTGTGGTTCTTCTACAGTGGCAATGAGGTAGACAGTTTGTAAGTATTCTGTATGAAACTGCAGGACAGCCTGTCGTAAGTGATAAAAAGAAAACTGGTATTTTGGGGGGCAGTAAGGACGAAACTTCATAGGTATAAAGACAGGACAATAAAATCTGAATAAGGCTTTTTTAGTTCTTATTTTCAGAATGTAAGAAAGGGGAGATGTCTCCTGGACACACTGTTATATCTTATTAATTTATGATTTATCTTCTGCCTCCAAGGACTCCAGGTCCTCTTTATGTTATGTATCATTCACAACCCAGTAATGCTGCTCTAAGAGCAGTGGTTCTTTTACTTTACTACGCTTCCGGGCTCAGGATGCTCAGTTAAAAGGCAGACTACCAGGTGGCAGGCCTAGGAACCTGCATCTTAACTAGCACCACTATGTTCCTGAGAGACCACACTTTGAGAAACAAAGTACCAGGGCAGTGTCCTGTACAGGAAACCCTACTCCATTTTACACAATTCCACAATGGTTCAATTCAATGGTATCAGGATCAGCAGTTGGCGTAATGGCTGGCACTGGACTCCCACATAGTTGACTGCGGTCTGAGTCCCGGACCCAGTGGCTTAAACTCACACTGGGTATGTGTGCGTGCGTGCCCAAGATCCCGAGAGAAGAATGGAAGAGAAGGGATTGTGGCGTGGCCATCTTCCTTGGTGGTGGTGGGGGGGTGATTTCTCACTTTCTGTCTCTCTCTGGCAAGCGCACATGCCCTATAGCAAAAACCTCCCCCTAGGGGGAAAAAATTAATGGTATCATTTAAATGGTTTCTATAATATGCAAATTTGAATTTGGAATCTAACATTAATACAAAGTCATTTTGTCAAAAATCACCACTACTGGGCCAACAGGTGTCATGGTAATTAAGGTGCTGGACTCCACAGGCCGACTTCACAGTTCAAATAATGGACCTGGCAAACTGAAAAATAAGCAAGGTGCATGTGCATGTATGCCCAAAATCTTGGGAGGAGACTGGAGAAGGGATTGCTGCATGGTTATTTTTTCTGGGGGGTGATTTCTCACTTTCCCTCCCACTACATCTCTCTCTAGCAAGTGCAAGTGCCCTGTAGCAAAAAAATATAAAAATTAAAATTAAAAAATTAAAAAGCATCACAGTGACAGACATAGTCTGGGTGAAAATAAAAAGTGAAACCCCAAAGATGAAATTATATAATACTGCAGAAAATCAGGCTTTTCTATGGATTATTGAGAAGCAAACATAGAGTTTAAAACATAAAAATGTAATTTCTAGAGAACAGCAGCAGATGGCATAATGGACTTCCATGTAGTTGACCACAGTTAGAGTCCCAGAGCCAGTGACTTAAAACTCACGCCAGGTGCGTGTGCATGCATGCCCAAGATCTCGAGAGGAGAATGGAGGAGAAGGGGCTGTGGCATGGCTATCCCTTCAGGGGGTGATTTCTCTTTCTGTCTCTCTGGTGAGCGTATGTACCCTATAGCAGAAATCGCTCTCCAAATAAAAAACAATAATTTCTGGGACGTCCCATGGCATGCTGGTTAAGGCAGATGGATCCTACATAGCTGGTTGCATGGTTCAAGTCCTGGACTTGTGGCTTGAAAAACATGCCAAAATTTGTGCATGCCCACAATCCCAAAAAGGGCGAGTGATAGAGGAGAAAGGACTACGGCATGGCCACTCCCTATGTGACTGCTTTCTTATTTCCTCTTTATCTCTCTTTCTGGTGAATGCATGCACCTTCTTGGCAAAATGGGTTGGGGAAATGCACTTTCTGATTGTAAAACATAATGTAGAAGCTTTGTTTACCTCAGTTATCTTGTCAGGAAAACATCAGATTACCTTACATTACAACCTTACATTAATTTGTAAGGCTGCCCAGTGGAACTCTTTGTAATTACCACATCTAACAATAAATATAAAAGTTTATAATAAACTGGGTATTACTCAAAAAACATACTACTTTGTATGTTACTATGCAGATTTGTGAATAACTATGTATTTTTTAAATGACAATTCTAAGGTATAATTGCCAAAATCCACATGACTTTATAAAATGAATAGATATTCACTAGGTAAATATATGTATATTTTAGGTATATATTTTTATAGTCACATTTTTAAGATTATTTCCAAAATTCAAATATACAAAAACAGTTTCATGCCTCAATAGAATTAACTTTAGGTTATGTTACTCTCTTCCAGTTGAAACTGTTTATATATCAACAATAAAAATGCTTATCTTTTATCAAAAGCATGGAAGCCACAGATTGAATGTAATCTTTTATCATACTAGCTTCCTCTACTATTTATATGTAAACCCAAAGGGACTAAAACAACTGTTTATTTTGGCTATTTGTTCAAATATCTATCTCAGCGATGTTCAAACTTCAAACAGAGTCAAGCAATAAACAGTCACAAACAACTTTAGGGGAAACATTTCCAGTTCCTCAACTTTGACATGGGATCTTTTCTAAAACTTGCTGTTTGCTCCAGTTGCCAGCCCAAATCTACTACAGTATATGTGCTGGGGTATAAAAGACTTTGAAGAGCCAAACAGAATTTATAAATCAATGATGGTACCTACGGCATGTTCTGTCTGTCTCTGTGTTACGCATATTCTGACAAAGAAGAGATCTGCCACTGGGGCCTGAATTGGAGTGTTCTAAATTTAGGACAGTTTAAGAGGTCAGAGGTACGTGAGGTTGATTTTTTTAAACTAGAAATGGAATATTCTGCAGAACCACCAAAAAAGTTCAAAATAAAGTAAAATAGTGGCTTAAAATTGTATTAATTTCTATTAGAATCAAAGTGTGCTTTATTCACAAGGTAATTAATTATTATCAAGTTGTATCATGAAATATTCATTCTAGTTATAGTCCATCCTCATTTCCATTTGTTCCTCTGTATTCACAGGGATTTGGTTACAGGATCCCCCGTGGATACCAAAATCCAAAGATGCTGAAGTCTCTTATATAAAAGGGATGTACCCGGATGCAACCTATGTACATGTTCCCATATATTTTAAATGTTCTCCAGGTTACTTCAAATACTCAATACAATGACACGTAAACAGTTGAGTATGCTATTGATATTTAGGGAATAATGACGAGAAAAATATTGTACATGTTCAATAAAGATGCAACCAACTTTTTCTTTTAATATTTTGGATCTGCTGTCGTAGAACCCAGATACAGATGCCTGACTGTATTCAATATTTTCTACCTCTTTTTTGCAAAAAAACGATTGAAACTTATGCCAAAAGCCTTTGGATGCTAATTTAAAAGTGAACAGGAGGTAGTTTTTTCAGAGTATTATTAAGGGGTATGTGAGCAAAAGCATTAGTCTGCTGTGGGCAGAACTGGTGCAGATGTCTATGTAAGGCTACGGAGTGCTGGCATGGGTGACATGTCATCCCATGTGACAGTTCCTGAGGGGAGGTGGCCACTCTCCCACTTCTGCATCTTCCCCGCATTTTTTTTTCTTTGCTGGAGAGAGAGACAGTGAGAAGGAAAGTGAGAAACCACCCCTCAGGGAAGACGGCCATGCTACAATCTCTTGTCCTCCAGTCTCCTCTCGAGATTTTGAGCATGCACACACACATCTCGCGTGATCCTCAAGCCACCAGGTCTAGGACTCGAACCACAGTAGACCACATGGGAATCCAGGGCCTTGACTGCTGCACCACCTGCTGGCCGCCTCCTCCACATTTTTTAGCACCATACTAATGTACTCAGAGTTGATTGACACATTCATACTATAATACACTATCCTCAGCCCAACTTTGTTTTCTAGCCTTTCTCTTCTATTAATTCTAGGCTTCACTCTTAGTTTAAAAAGTACCATTCCAGTATCCACCCTGTAGTGCAGCGGTCAAAGGAGCAGGATTGCACGTGGCTGACTACAGTTTGAATCCTGCCCCAGTGGCTTGAAAAACTGACCTGTGTGCCCCCAATCCTGATGGGAGGGAGAAAGGGAGGAAAAAGAACTGTGGCATGACCATGCCCACTGGAGCTGTGCTTTCCTTACCCCCTTTCTAGCAAGCACAACCTGGCAATTTAAAAAGAAAAAGAAAGAGCCATTTCATCTTTAGAATATAAAACTAAAGAAAAATACCATGCTGTCATATCCTTTTCTAATAGCTAGGCATGCGCCATTAGAGGGGGTTGGAAGAGTAAGGACATTCTTGTTTATTTTATCAATAAGGGGGAGGAAATTATTTTAAAACAAGTATAAGAAGTAAGTTTTACAGCTAATACCTAAATTTAATAAGAGTAGAGATGATTGCTAATAAAATAAAGAATAGTACAATAATCTTGCCTTTTTAGAAAATTTCTGGGGGCCAGTAGAAGGCACTGAACTTCCACATGGTTGATCATGGTTCGAGTCCCGTATCTGATGGCTTGAAAATCATGCCAGGAGTGTGTGTACCCAAAGTCCCAGGAAGAGAATGAAGGAGAGGGGACTGCAGCG